CTGCGAAACAAGGAAACCAATTTCCGGTGGCCGTATACGCCGAACGTTGCAGAAAACCCCGAGAAAAGATTAGCGATAAGACTGTATCAGCGCCAAAAGTGCAAATGGAAAAAGGAAAAACTATGTAGACCGCCGCAGGAAAAGAGAAAAAGATCCCGACGTAGCTAAATCCTCTAGAGACGATTAGTAGAGAGTTTGGACTTCGACAAAATCCCGTAGCCTAGAAAAATCCATATAAAAACCCGCCTGTTTTCCCCAGACCTTTGTACGATGCGCAGAACACAGATCCCAATCAACAACAGAGCTTTCTACTTCTCTACTCCCGACGACTGCTTTCAGTTTCAGATAGACTTTCAAGGCGCGTTCATAGACCCGGAGAGCTTAGACAAGACGACCCCGAGTGTCGCGACTTGTACTTTGCTGACGTCGCCGAGGACTTGATAGTTCAGGAATCTCGTAAGAGGAGCTGAGAGTGAGACTGGATAACCCCGTTGTTTTGTTTTCTAGTCCTCCCCGCAGATATTCCCGATTTCGTATTTCGTACCCGTACCCGTAATTCCCGACCCCGTATTAGAGGAAGGACTCCTTTCAAAGCACCTGGATATTAAGGTGGCAAGACGACGCTCTCGCCTGAGATCTCTTCTTGTGCTATTGAGAGACCGGCAGCTTATTTTTTCCGACACTCAACCGTAACCCCGTATTCGACAGACCCTCGCTTCTGCCGGCCACCACCACAGCGTTGCCCTTGCCTGTCCAGCGCTCTGCGTCGAAAAAGGGCAGCTCCATTTTTTGTGAAGCTGAAAACGGCGACGACGCGTAGATAGTGTCAGTTGCTGTCAAATTAGGGGTGCCCTTGAGGTGGCAGGCCATCCTCATCACAGTGGTAGATGACATGCTTTTCTGTATCACCTGACAACCGGGGGGAGAGCCTCGTTGTCGGAGTCATTCCTGTCCTCGGAGAATGAGCCGGGAGGGTCCTCGTCTCCTCCCTCCTCAATCTGCTGGTTGCTCTGGGTACTAGCATCACCCCGGCTGTGCTGTTGCTCGTCGGGCGAGCTCTTGGTTCCTTTGTCGTCACTGGGGTTCATCCAAAGGTTTGCAGCTCGTGAGGGGTTGATTGCGAAAGTGCCGGTTTGCACTCGGACAGGGCTGCTGTCCTGGCTCCGGTTGCGTCTGTAATTGGGTCATCGTGCTGCTGAGGCTTGTGGGACCGTTACGGGGTGGTGCTACCTGGTAATGTTACTAGGTATTGTTGCCAATAGCTACCGTTATCTATTCCGTCTTCTCAAAGAATCCTGCCTATTCACTCGCTGGCGGGCCCCGCCCGCCTCCTTCCCTTAGTAAGAATTTCCGCAAAAGCGCAGGGTGGAGCAACTTTGGGAGAAGCGACGCATACAGACATTTGCGGAGTGTCATGCTTGGGCTTCCACCAATATTCCTTATTCGTTCCCAATGCCCTTGGCTCGCTCTTGCACCGGTGCTCAGCTCTGCGCTCACATACGATTTGCGCCCATCCTCTTGGTCCCTTCAGCCTTCTCAAATGCGGCGAGCTCCGCCTGATGTGCGAGTCAGCTCAGCCTGCCAAGCTTACCATCGCGAAAAGTTTTGGAAACCCCCTAAGTCTCCATAAGTAACAGTTTATGCCTACATCCGTCAAGAGAATGCGAAAACGATTAGCGTCACTCAGATCAATACGCACGACAACGTTGCGGATATATTTACCAAATCCCTAGATGAAAACAAACACTGGAAGTTTGTTCACGCTCTAGGATTGCGACGAACAGCTGATGTTGCTTGATAACAACGAGGACGCTGAAAAGCCGATGTTGCCCGATACGAAGATGCGCTCTTTTCCTACTCCCAGGATCCATTTTTTCCTCACGGAGGTTTTTACACCTGGGAGAGGTTTTTACCGAGGCATCCACAACTACAACGGCGAAGCGACAACACATCCCATGCCGGTCGACCTCCCGCAAGCGGCGGTCGTGCTCAGCACTGGAAGCGTCGAGATCAGTGATTGTAAAGTTGATGGCGTAACGAATCGCGAGGCCGGCTCCTACTCCGATCTGGACTCAAGCGATCGTGACTTGAAGAGCAAATCGCGAGTCCGGCTCCTACTCCGATCTAGACTCAAGCGATTGCGGAAGTTGAGAGCGGAACGTTCCATGGGATCATGCAGAGCGACTGCGACGGCGACTGCGGACTGAATTCGATCTGCAGTCTGAGAGGGAGTGTTGTAAACAACCAGTTTCAGCCACAGCTTCCTTTTTATAGTTGCCGTACCCCTTTTCTTCTCTGCAGATAGAGAGCTGGTTGTGTGTGTGCAGACCGTCCGATCGAATGTCTATAAAACAAGTGGTGTGTGTGAAGGGGAATAAAGTAACGAGTTCCACAACAACCCCACGTCCTTTACACGCGTGTAAAGGACAATCCTCACTCTACTCTTCCTCACCTCATCATGGCCCCCCATTACATACCAAACCTCCTTCCCAACCCCCTTCCTTCCCAACGCAATTGTGGGCAGTAAGCATCCCCGTTTTCACCTTCAACCGCTACCAGGTAACAACCGCAATTCCTCCCCGCTCTCCGCAATCATTACCACAGCACTGACGCGAGTTCTTTGACACACAGGCATCACGGCAATCACCTGCAACACCTGTCTCGGCACAGCACAGCCAACATGTCATCACACCAGGCGCTCCACGGGCACCTGTGGTGTGGCATCTTTACTGGAGCAACCACGCCACGGCGGAAGAGGAGGAAGGTTGCTCCGGTTACCCCGCGATTGCCCATACGTCTGCCAGCCACACCATGGCAACCCCCACGATTCGAGCTCCCGCCCTCTGTCCATCGCCACTTGCCCCAAGCAATTGCAGACATGGTTGGCGAGAGCTCCAGCGATGAAGACGGGCAACAGCAGCAGCAGCGAGGGCTTTCACCCGTGGACAGGGGTCTGCAGCGTCCGTTGAACCTCCCCGCGCCCATCCCTTTCCGTTTTCCCAGCACACCGGGTGGACCCCTGTTGTATGAACCCCCGCCACCACCACCCGCTCAACGACCCCGGCAGACACATGCATGCACCAAGGTTTCGCTTCACCGAATCCATAATCAAAATCAAATTCAAAGGGAGCGCCTGACAACATTCATCGGCAATGTTCACGTCCTTGCGCGCCACACCACCTTCTTTCTCAAGTACTATCTTGGTGAGTTTTTGAGGTACACTGTATGTTTCCCATAATATTTCCCATAACAATGTCCTGACTACTACGTCCGCCCGCCACAGCTGATCATCCTCTACACGATTTCCCGGACATCACCGACAAGCACATCAGTGTGATGTTTGAGCTGCTCAACAATCCAGGCTACAATGGCAATCCGGTCATTGTGCAAGGGTTGCGTCCACGGGTTCAAGACTACTGTGATGTTCACGGATTCGCCCCCATCCGCATGCAAAATTGCCAACAGACCGCAGCAAACACGGCTAAGAGCATCCTCACAAACCTCAAAGTTAAGGTACAAGAGCATTTCATGCAAATGTTTCTGCACTACATCAACGAAAGGATTGGTTTGAAGCAAGTCGTACTGCATCTCCGCAGAGCCAGAGCCAACCGAGCGCAGCGGAGACAGTATTATCAGCGGGTCCGTCAATTTACAAAATTTGCGACGTTTGAAGAGTTTCCAACCGAAGAAGAGTTTGCGCGCCTCACACGACTTGAGCGGACCGTCCTCGACGAGCTATGGGCTCTGTTTCCTCCCCACGATGAGCCGCTTGCGTACAGCCTTGCGGTGGACGCAATGCCATATTTAGGTGAGTTAGTATATTTCCGGCCCCCCCCCCGCTTCCTCTTTTGTCTAATCATGGTCCGCACCTGCCTCGCCTCATCACAGGCGCCTATTGTGAGCTCTCACGGCTCTATGAGCGCCGTGGAATGCGCCTGTTTTCCGCTATCCCGCTGCGCAAATCTCGAATCCAGTCATCTGTTTGGATCGACACGCTGATCCTAGGCACTCATATCCTGGGCTTGAGCCGAAGTTGCATGGGGAAATTCACCGATGAACGCAAGCGGGAGCTGTGGGGGCAGTTTATCAACGTGAATGTATGTCTCTATCCCTCTGCGCTTATTTCACTCACCTCACCTCGCTGAATGATGGATTGCAGGACAAGGTCTTCAAGGATCGAAAGAAGCTTGGTCTCAAATTTGATGGGTCAATCAGCACAAACGGGTATTCCGCTACCATCCACTTCAAGAAGCCAGGGCTCAAGTATGGGCATCAGGCCCGGAAGCGCAGCAAGGCCCAAATGCAGGAAGAAGTCAAGCAGCTGTATTTTGAGCACCACATTGCGGAACTACGGGAGGCTCCAAACATCGTCTGCATTGATCCGGGCAAGCGTGACCTCCTATTCTGTGGAGACAACAAGAAGGAGCGGCCATTTCGGTAAGTTTCAGTTGATTACTACTGCCCTGCTGTCCCCGCTACCCCCCCCCCCCCCCCGTCTCCGCCCGCCAGCCTCCCGTCTCCGCCCGCCAGCCCCCCGTCTCCGTCTCCATCTCCGTCTCCATCTCCGTCTCCGTCTCCATCCCCGTCTCCGCCCCCCAGCCCCCCGTCTCCGCCCCCCAGCCCCCCGTCGCCGCTGCCGCTCCCACCGCCCCTATCCCCACCATCCCCATTGCGGCGACATTCCGTTGCAGCGTCCTCACAATGCACCACCCCATATCAGATACACATCCAATCAACGGGCGGTCGAGAAAAAGTCTCGGTACTTTCGAAGAGACATGACAGAGCGGAAGATCAATGCCGGCGTTGCTGAGATGGAATCACATATTCCGTCGCACAAGAGCATGAACATCGAGGCGTTCTCAGCGTTCATTGTGGATCACTTACATGCGGGTATGATGTTCTACTTCTTTGATTTTCAAATTTGGTCATACATGGGCTGACATCCATATCCCAGATCCCGCCCTGGATGAGTTTTACCAGGTGAGATTCACGTAGCTCGCAGATTCAAGGCGTTCTCACTGCGGCAAAAGTCTGAGAGCAAGCTCATCAAAAACATGCGACGCCTGTATGGAAAGCATTTTTCGGTCATCTTGGGTGATTGGAGCGATGCTGGGAAAACGATGCGCTTTCAGGAGTCATCAAAGACCAAGGGGTGAGTGACCATCATTGTTTTTTATGTACTATAATATGCTAATTCATCATGGAAATCAGATTCCGCACACTCTTTGCAAGAAACAGCATCCCATGCTACTTGCTAGATGAGTATCGAACGCCCTCCGTGTGCCCAGACTCCCATGGCCGTGTGAAGAAAAACATCCGACGTCGGCTATCTTCTCGGCCATGGCAAGCTAGAAAGGGAAGAATGGAATTTGTCCATGGATTGGTGGGTTGCCCGAACCCCGAATGTATCAACCAAGACTGGACGCCATTTGAGATTCCTGGAAGACGACCACTACGGATGAAAGTGCACAATCGGGACGTCCTAAGCACCAAGAATTTCCTCTCGATTGTGCGTTCGGTGGTGTTTGGCGATGGCCGCAGACCAGACGCATTCTCCCGTAACCGTAGGTAGTGTAGATTTCACCCCATCCCATTTTCCGTGGTGGTTATCTGCCATCCACATCATTGTACCTCTGCCTGAGGCGTCGCCGATGATGGCAACTTGTAAGTAACAGTATGCCAGCGGAACGCGACTCGCTGACAGGATTTTCAATCAGAGTTTCCATGTTGCTGTGCATACAGCGAGAAAGGCAAACATACAGTAAATACAGCACATATCCAGAGCTTCGCTGTGCGTCTCCCAGCAAGCATTCAGGACGTTCCCTTGTATGTACAGTATATAGGGCTCGCAACTGCAGAGTATATATACTTTTCGGGCTCACCTGGGAGACTTGGTCGATATCCATAGCCTAGCGGCTCTGCACAGGCGTAGTCTGCAAGGACTTGGTCGAGTGGTTTTCGGCAATTGGTTGACATAGTTTGGCGATTCACCCTGGACCTAGTTTGTTTTGACGGTCCCCATGGTTGTTGCAAAGAGGCCCGTCGTTGACGACGCCCCAAAGGCTATGTACGTACAGTTGTATTGTAACCCATCGACGAAAGAGTCTCTACCCCTGGTGTCGTTCGCCTCAATTTACGTAACCTACCCCGATCTGCAGTAAGAAAATCGACTTCGGAGTCTTCTCGACTCAGGATGCGAAAAAGTTGTCGGTGCTGGAGCTATATCAACGTGATCTTTACGATGTGACACAACCGAATCGACCTTCGGTTAAGTTTGGTGTCCTGGATGACCGGCTAGTAGGTTTCACTGTTCAGAGTTCACCATGTGGGCCTCCCTGAACGACGCAATCCTGTAGGGGGTGACGAACAAGGAAAAGCAATGCGAAACATGTGGCGAGAAGCAGCAGGAGTGTGTGGGACACTTTGGCGTCGTCCGTCTTGCGGTGCCTGTATTCCATATTGGTTACTTCAAGCTCATGCTCCAGGTGTTGCAAATGACGTGCAAGGTGGGTGTTGAAACGGGGGAGCTGCTGCTGGTTGCGAGTCGCGCTAACCGCCCGCTCCATTTTCAGACTTGTAGTCGAGTTCTCCTCGAAGAACCCCAGCGGCGTTCATTTTTGCGGCGACTACGAAACCCGAATCTGGATGGAGTGCAGCGAAAGGAGATACTCAAGTCTGTTCTCACTCTTGGCAAAAAGTGTGGAATTTGTCCATCATGCAGGGCGATCAATGGTACCGGAGCCTCGTTTGGCGATCGGGAGTCCTGTGGCGGGCGCTGAGATATTTTGGAATAGGCACGGTGAAGAAAGTTGGAGCACTCAAAGTGATCCACGAGAAATTTCGGCGGAAAGCGAAGACTGATGAAGAAAATGAATTTCGGAGAAGTTTCGACAATGCGGTCAAACTGGATTCCTTCATCCAAGGTTATGTCTCCCGAGCACAGGATGATCTTACGCCTCTTGCCGTATTACGCCTGTTTGAGAACATCAACAATGAGGTGCGACAGGACAAACATCGCTCGAGGCATATTACAGTTGCTTATGAAGGCTACTCCCTGCAGGATTGTGAGCTTATGGGACTGGACCCCATAAGAGGGAGGCCGGAACTTTTCCTATGGACCGCACTTCCCGTCCCGCCTGTCTGTATTCGACCGTCAATCGGACAAGAGAACTCGAGGTTCGGTTACCTTGCCATTCGGCAAGCTGACTTTTGGCGATACTAACGGTCTCGAAATAGCACCGAGGATGATTTGACTGTCCTCCTCTCGGAAATCATCGAAATCAATACCAAGATAAAAAGTCTGATCGAGAGTGGTCAGAAAACGGAATCCCTAGTGGTTAGTAGTGCTTATGTCGGAAGCAGTACGCGGGCAGCCTTCACCGAAACCCCTTTTCGGCATAGGAATACTGGGATTACCTGCAGCTTCAGTGTGCTATGTACGTCACAAGCGATCTGCCTGGAATTCCATCTCATCTGCAAGGGGTTAGTTCGCGCACATCCATCGATTTGATTTCTTGAGCCTATAATCCATACCCCTCGAACAGAATTTGCCGAAGATCAAGAAAGGCTTTTGCCAACGCCTCAAAGGCAAACACGGCCGGTTTCGCGGAAATCTGTCCGGGAAAAGAGTGGATTTCTCGGGGAGAACTGTCATATCGCCTGACCCAAACTTGCGGATTGACCAGGTTCGTTGCGGTTCTCGTTGAGTTACATAGAAGGTCTTCCGATTCACATTGAATTCGCAGGTTGCTGTGCCACAGCGGGTAGCGACAGTGCTGACCTACCCAGAACGTGTCACGCCTCATAACATCGACAGATTACGGCGGAACGTGGCGAACGGCATCGACAACTATCCCGGCGCAACATACGTCACCAAAAGCAAGACCGATAAAAGGTGACTGCAAAAGGAATCGTGGAGCGATCATCCCCACCTGACTTCCTTCTGCGCTATCAAAGGTTCTTGAAGAGTCCATCTGTTCGGCAGCGCCTCGCACAAGAGCTTCAAGTCGGCGATCTTGTCGAACGCCATTTACAAGATAACGACATTGTGCTTTTCAACCGACAGCCGTCGTTGCATAAGCTCAGTATTTTATCCCACTACGTACGTACCAACTATCCATGTGATTACACTGCTGCACCCGGTCAATACCAAGTTCCCGCCCATCTAGGTGAAAGTTCGCCCCTGGAGAACATTCCGTTTCAACGAGTGTGTCTGCACGCCATATAACGCCGATTTTGATGGAGACGAGATGAATCTTCACGTACCGCAAACGGAGGAGGCGAGAGCCGAAGCGATCGAATTAATGGGGGTAAGATACCTTCGTGTCTGGCCTGCCCTTTCGTAGCAATCAATGCGCTAATCCATATGGGTCCTCATTAGGTGAAAAATAATCTGGTTACCCCGCGAAACGGGGAGCCCCTCATTGCCGCCACCCAAGACTTCATCACGGCCTCCTATCTCTTGTCCAAAAAGGACATCTTTTACGACCGGGCGCAATTCACTCACATCTGCACGTACATGACCGACTCTCTGACGCCTGTCGATCTCCCACCACCAGCTATCTGGAAGGTATGTTCCCTGATTGAACGTAATCTCCACAACCATTAACCCTCGTTCCGCTGCCGACAGCCGATCAAGTTGTGGACTGGCAAGCAGGTCTTCAACATCCTACTACGCCATAATCAGAAATCGCCGAATCTGGTGAACCTCACAACGAAGTGCCGAACATTCGATAAAGATCAAGTCGATCGCCATGGAGTGAAGTTCAGTGCGAAAAAAACCTTAGCGGGACACAAGATCGACAGTACATTTTGTCCCAACGACGGGTGGCTCTTAATTCACAACAGCGAGCTTTTGTGTGGCGTAATCGACAAGGCTATTATCGGGGATGGGAATAAGAACTCTATGTTCTATACGGTGATGAGGGACTTTGGCGCTGTCAGTGCGGCCGAAAGCATGAACAGGATCGCCAAACTTTCTGCACGTTGGCTAGGTAAGAGCGAGCGAAGTGCTGCAGAATTAGAGTCGATCTGATGAACTCATCCACGGAGTTCAGCCAATCAGGGGTTTTCTATCGGTATCGATGACGTGCAGCCCGATGCACAGTTACGGAAGGAAAAAGAACTCACCGTCGAGAAGGGATATGCCGACTGTGACGACACTATTCAAATGTCTAAAGCTGGAAGACTGCCGAACCAGCCAGGATCTGACCAAGAACAGACTCTAGAGGTGATTGTGGGGAACGATGTCACCACCCGCGGATCCGGCTGCTGACTCACTTCTCGGCGGCGGCTACAGAATAAGCTCTCGGGGATTCTCAGTAAAATTCGTGACGATGTTGGTCAAGCCTGTTTCCGGGAGTTAAACAAATACAACGCCCCCCTTATCATGTCCCTGTGTGGATCGAAAGGTGAGCCGCCGTACTCGAATTTCAGCTAGCCGTGAAAGTTAGTCGACAATGCCCACTGATGCTATTTCTAGGGTCCAAGATCAACGTCTCACAGATGGTGGCTTGTGTCGGACAACAAATCATCTCCGGAAAGCGTATTCCGAACGGTTTCGTGGATCGCTCACTGCCGCATTTTCCGAAAAATGGTTTGTCGCATTAGAGGGCGCAGAAAGCAGCCATGCAGGCAGAAAGCAACCAGTCTGGTGCTAAAGCGATGCTTATCTCCGTAGCCAAGACACCTGCTGCCAAAGGTTTTGTGCGGAATAGTTTCTACACCGGCTTGTCTCCATCCGAATTTTTTTTCCACGCCGTGTCTGGTCGTGAAGGTTTGGTCGATACTGCAGTCAAGACTGCTGAAACGGGTTACATGCAGAGGCGTCTGATGAAGGTGAGGGCGAACAGCTCACATTGTGGGTGGGCTTGGTACGCAGGCTCACAAATTTCCATTTTGGACTTGCTGCAGGCACTTGAGGATCTGGTGTCCCACTACGATATGTCAGTGCGCGATTCTACGGGTGGCTTAGTCCAATTTACGTACGGCGACGACGGGCTGGATCCAGCCAGCATTGAGGGCGGTGATCTTCCCGTTGATTTTCAGAGAAATCTGCGGCATGCCCAAGTAAGTTGCTCCGGTCCTTGGGTGGGACGTTCTCAATCAGCCTTCGGACCGGCCAACCCGTCATGTAGTCCGTTGTAGGACAGGGTGGTACTCGCTTACTACCGTGCCAAATTCTTCAATACGTCCACACTTCCATTTCAAGTCCCCAATTCAAGAAGACGTGTGCTGAACCATTTCGGCTCGCTTTGGCTGAATTCTTAACATCCGTGGTCAATGGACTTGTAGCAGTCCGAGAGGCCCGTGGTTTACCGCCAATGGTCGATCCAAGTGCGATGACATCATACTCCCTCACCCCTGAAGAAGGTAGGCGAGGACCCTTTCGAGGAGGTTTGCGGTATTCTTCTGACCGTTTCGCTCCAGAGGACAGGATGGGATTGAAAATGAAACTGACAAAAGGTCAACTTGATATGTTCTTCGGAATTTGCATTAAGAAGTACCGACGGGCCATGACGGAACCAGGTAACGTCCCGGGTCATACCGCATTATGCGTATCGCTTCACCAACTCATATCTGTGTAGGAACCGCTGTCGGCGCTGTAGGGGCGCAGAGTATTGGAGAACCGGGCACCCAGATGACGTTGAAGACTTTCCACTTTGCTGGAGTTGCTTCTATGAACGTCACACTAGGTGTGCCTCGCATCAAAGAAATCATCAACGCTTCGAAAAATCTCGCCACGCCCATCATCACTGCTAGCCTTGTTACCAAAGCGGGGTCATACGACTGCGGCGGCAACGCGTCGCAAGAACAAGTTCGGCAGGCTCGTCTAGCTTGCGAAGCCGCCGCTCGAGTCGTTAAAGGAAGGATTGAAAAGACCACTTTGGGTGACGTGAGTGATCTGTTGCTCTTCTAGGATGCGACTGAGCCCGTACTGAAATCTGTATCGTGCGTCTCCCTCGTGCGTGCAGATTACGGAATATGTACAGGAGGTTGTTAGCCCCCAAGAGTGCGCACTGCGAATTCAATTGGATTACGACGCTATCAAGAAGTTACAGGTGCGGTTGGCTTCCATACTCATCCCACCAATGCGGCTGTGCTTCTAAAAGTTTCGCCGTCATCAAATGCAGCTCGAGGTGGATAGCGTAACTATTCGCTGGTCGATTGCGGTCTCGAAGTTGAAGGTTGCACAGGAGGTATGCACTTTATCTACTTATGGTTTCCATCATGAGGGAGGGCGCCTCAATGGTTGTACCTGTGGATCTGGCTCTGCAGAATATTCGTATTGAATCCGCGGACTGCATTCGCGTCATCTTGGATTCGAAAGCCACTGCCGCAGGGGCTCATCAAGCGCTGCAGCATCTCAAACGCGCTTTGCCAAAGGTGATAATTAAGGTAAAGCTGAACTTGATGCACCTCAAAGAAATGTGGGCTCTGAGGCTAGGAACTTCTGAACGATTCCCTCTGCTCGTCGTCGCCTTGCTGAAGAATCTTCGTCTTTTAGGGTTTACCGAGCGTAACTCGAGCGGTTATCAATGACGAGGAAGGAAAGAAAATGTTCAACCTGCTTGTTGAGGGCTACGGCCTCCGAGAGGTTATGGGAACTGAAGGAATCCATGGCATTGAAACAAAGTGCAATGCGACTCTGGAAGTGAACAAAACTTTGGGGATCGAGGCAGCTCGGTAAGATGTTCCTTCAGTTGCTGTTTCTTCGAAGGGAATACAAGCTACCAGCATCCTATTTCCTATTGTCTCATGAATGTCCTTCCATGTAGTCTGACCATCATCAACGAGATCATGTATACTATGAAGTCCCATGGGATGACTATTGACAATCGTCACGTAATGTTATTGGCCGACCTCATGACGTTCAAAGTAGGTGCCAAAACCTATGGGAGAGATTCCGCTATCAAACGCGCATCTATCTCGATGCTTTGACAGTTGCCGACAGCGGGGAATATAGTCGTGCAAATCATTCACTCATCACCCTTTGAACCTTTCATGATATAGGGTGAAGTTCTGGGTATCACGCGATTCGGAATCTCCAAGATGCGCGACAGCGTGCTCATGCTGGCCTCGTTCGAGAAAACCACCGATCACCTGTTCGAAGCAGCGTTCTATGGGAAGCACGACACCGTCGACGGTGTTTCGGAATGCATCATTATGGGCGTACCAATGGGAATTGGGACTGGTCTCTTCAAGCTATTACGAAGAGTTGATGATGTGGATGCTTGGAATACCATGAGCAACGGTGCTGCTCATCGTTTGGTTGGAGCACACAAGAGAGAGCCCATGTTTGAAAAGCTGGTGTGAACGGCGCCGTTGAGTAGAGGTTTCGCGTAGTTTGCACCAATGAATTCACATAATTTAAGCATATCATTATTGACTTAACAGTCTTTAGGAGAAGATGTGCGTCTCGAATGATTATGTGTCCGCTATATGAAATGTGGATAGTTGTCTGAGCAAAAGAGATGCCTACATGGTTCTCCGATGATGAATAATGAGAGAGGCTGATTCTGTCAAATCCAAAAAGATTGAACTCGAATGAACAAAGAAAACCGCAATGATCGTGGGTATCCATTTTCCTGGTATGAAGGCATATTGCTTTTATCCTGGTGTCGTGTGTGGTTGCATACTCCTCGCAATTCTGTAATATGATTGGGTTTACCAATCACGCAATCAGCAGGTGATTACAAGGATAGAAAAACGCTTGAAAAGGACATGAAAAAATAGAAGGTCTTGTTGCGCACCTGAGGGGAACCTCGGACAACCTGCTCTTGATAGCCGAGCCATCCTTCCTGTTTCCCAATCCCAGAGAACGCCGAGGGGCGCTGGCGGGCCTCGGGCTCGATGCCACAGGCAACCGACTGCCGCCTCGACTGAATTTCTGCGCTCGCACCAACGAGACCAAGTGTTCATCATCACCGCCTTTCCGTTTGACCATTGGAGGAGAATCTGACGTAAGGAGGTGGGACGCAAGACGGGCGATCAGAGGAGATGGGGTGGCGTCTACGTGTTTGCCAGGGGACGGCCGTGGGAGTCCCGAACGACTCCTTGGCGTGGAAGGCGACTGAGATGCTGGGTCACAGCTGCTTCGGATCATATCTAGAGATGGGGTGGAATGGTCGTCCTTGGAGGTAGCATGGTACGCTGTTTGGGTTTGTTGTAATCGAACATGCTTCATCTCGTTCGTGTACTCCTCGACTGCAGGAGGCACTGTAATGCTAATGTCGATATTGTATTCGACAGCAGGCCGTGGCCGTTCACCTGGTTCCATGCCCTCGCTCATTTGGCTACGCCCCACCTTTTCCGTTCGTGAACTTGCAATCACGCGCTTTGCCGGTGACGAAGTCTTGGTGACATTCGTTGGTCTCGCTGATGGCGACGCGGAATGTAACGCTGCGGTGGTCGGTCGCAAAGAGCGCGGCTTACCGGTAGTCGCAATGGTGCGAGTTGACTTTACTGCTTTCGACGGTGACGCAACAGACGCTGTGAAACGAAAAACGGGATCTTCATAGCACGTCCTTGCAGACATCAGTGCTGGCGAATACCGCATAAAATCTGTGTCTGAATCGAGGTTTGCCGCTGACAATTCTCCCGCTATATGCCTTGAACTGGGCGTGTTCGCGCTTCTCTCTATGTCAACATTCGTCGAAGATGGGACGCTTCCGATAGTGCGAGCTGTAATCCCCAAACCATCCGCTGTTATGTGCAATCCCGAGTGCCTCTCGACTTTTGGCTGCGGTGAGAGTGTCATGGTTTCGTTCATGCCTATGAGCGAAATCTTTCGATGGCTCGCTAATCGATTCGACGCGTTGGGAGTGGGTGGCTCAAGGGCAGCTATATTCGTATGCGTACTATGGAGTGGCAAATTGTTGGTCGAAATCGAAGTAACGCTCCTCGCGATGAACCAGCGAGAATCTATCACGCTGAATGGACCATCCCCTACCTGGAATTGCTTGGCGGCAATAAAGCCCCCGCGTCCACAGTGGGAGTTGAAGGCGATGGATAATGAGAAGACGGAGAGATAGATGATGAGGCGTCGGTAATCATGCGATCCGGACCATCCAAAAGCCAAGACTCATCTTCCACGGTGAGGTCACCTGCATAGTCATGAGTCATGAGCAGGAATGAAGTCGTCTCTCGAAGCGTGATTTTGAGAGCAAGACATACCTTTTCGTCTCTCCCTTGCTAAGATGTCCTCAAAAGTCAGACTCTGCCGTCGTTGCCTGGCCAGAGAAAAGGTGGGCACGAAGGGACGAGAAGCAGGCAGTGCATTGCTCACAACTGCAAAACGCTGATAACGACTGGCGAACTGAGCGTTGTGCACGTCGGACGAGGGAGGCGATGAGAAAAGAGGTCGAGACTGAAACAACAGCGAGTGCCGCGTCGGCGCCCCGAAGCCCTCTGATGAGGATGCGCCCAAGGACAAGCTGCCGAATCCCGCTGTCAGGTCGTGCATAAGCTGGACCGAATGGTCCTCGGAATCGCCGCGGGACGCCATGTCGCGATGCTGAGGAGCAAGGCAGCTGTATCCAATCTCCCTTCTACTTACATGCCCATCCGTAATGGTGGTGGTTGAGAACAGGTCCGTCACACTCAACGCGTGGAAAGGTGTCAATAATACACACAGTACAGGACGCGTGCTGTCGGCGAATGATGCGCCTCCGACAAGCCACCCACGCCACACGCGCACTCATCATTAGGCGAAAGCGGCGGCTCTCATCATCATCACGCATCCATCTGGGCGGTTTAGAACACACTCACGGCGGCGGCAACTCACTCAGCACCCACCCACAATCTTATTATTCCCCCCCGGCGGCTCAGCACACCAACGACACCCTATACTGCGACACGTCCCATATCGCCCCTCCTACGTACCCTCGCTGCACCTGTTTAGACCGCACCGTCGGGCGTTGTTCGGCTCCCAGGGAATTGGCGTCTGTTTACCACACACGCTCAACGTAAATCGCGACCGGCGCAGAACCGTCTGGAACTCCGCTTGGCGCAACCACATCTACGCCGAGAAAATCCTTAGACAGACCTTTACACACAACGATTAGTGATGCAGGCTATCAAGTGTGTCGTCGTTGGCGACGGGTACGTTCTGACGTTGCTGTGAGAGAGCGGTCAAATGCTCCTGATTTGGACAGAAGGGGGCAACGGGATTTTCCCACGGACATGTGGTGAAGCTGGGATGCGGAACGCAGCTTTGCCTTGCATACGCTTTCATTGGCTCGATGAAGGCTCCTTGGCTACTTGCGCTGGTTTCTTTACGCTCCCTGGCACCGGAAGCTATAATTTCCCTTGGCGTGCACATTCGCTAGGTCATTCAATGAGTGCAATCCATGACGCCGCAAATTTTCGCAGAGGGCATAGCTGACAACATACCTTCGTCTCTCACCCTCCAATTCCCCAATTGCTTTCCTAACCTATGCAGTGCGGTCGGAAAAACATGCTGTGAGTCTTTTGAGCATATCTATCAAAACTTCCGATCTATACTAATGCTGTTCCTTCACTGATTGCAGTACTCATTAGCTACACAACAAATGCTTTCCCTGGAGAATATATCCCCACTGTGTATGTACTTCACATTAGGGATTGCCGTGCGAGCATGTTTTGTATTTCCTTGGCGACTAATGGATTCGCTTCACCTTTCTGCCTTCCAACTATAAGCTTTGACAATTACTCGGCAAATGTTATGGTCGATGGGAAACCCATTAACCTCGGACTGTGGGATACTGCTGGACAGGAAGATTACGATAGACTGCGGCCTCTGTCGTACCCGCAAACGGACGTTTTCTTGATTTGCTTTTCGCTTGTGAGCCCTCCGTCATTTGAGAACGTCCGAACAAAGGTATGCCTCAACATCCAACTTACGTTTTGAGCTACGGTTGGGGTACGACTGCAACGTGGAACGAGTACTATATGCCCGTTTTTGCATTATACGGCAAGGGATACAAGATTGCAGTATTTCGGCTGATCATTTTCTTCCCTTCTTTTACAACTGCGCCCCGGACAACAACAGTGGTACCCCGAAATCAGCCATCATGCGCCAAACACCCCCATCATTCTCGTTGGCACTAAACTCGATTTACGTGAAGACCGGGAGACGATTGAGAAATTGCGAGAAAAGCGCATGGCCCCCATCACGTACCCTCAAGGTCTTCAGATGGCCAAGGAGGTCTCGGCCGTCAAATACCTCGAGTGTTCCGCCCTTACCCAGAAGGGTCTCAAAAACGTTTTTGATGAAGCGATCCGTGCGGTCCTATGCCCTGTAGTTCCTTCGAAGAGGGCCAAAAAGTGCAGTATTTTGTAGAATGATTTATAACGGTTTCCTGTGATGTTCAGAATTACAATTCTTACGCAACTTCAGTGGTAATTTCCATTCGGAGGCGATGGTGGCGTGAGAGCATCAGCTTAGAATACTCGATTGAAGACAGAGAGGTCTACATAACATTCTTCAGGCAATGCGAAAAACTAGCCTGAAGAGCTGAAACGTCATTGCGATTGAGGGATCTGAGGTCCAACATAGGCATTACAGGAATTGGCACGTATGGGGAGCCTTTCAGCTTGACATCAATCACTTCGCAGCGCATATAATCCCACTGCGAAATAACCAATGTCACATCAGTCTCCACATGGCCTTCCACACCTCGGCGCTCGTCCCGCGACCCTCTCCCAGCCACATAAACGTTTGTGAGTTCCTCAAAGTCCACTCCGCTATCTCCAGATACTCGGTCTTACGGAAAATAGGAGCATCGACTACCTCGAAATATACCCTAAGGATGTCGTCAGCGATTGGTGGCAGATGCTCTCGAACAGTAACGAGCTCCCCACCGATCTCGCAGCATTCACTAAGAAGTTCCTACCCGGCGAGCTTCCAGGATACAATCGATGCCAGGCTCAAGGCGCTAGCCTACACGAATAGTCTGGCCACCTACATCGCTAACTACAATACGCTCCTTTCTCAAACTGCAACAGTGGACGCGAAAGAGGTGCTCACCCCCAGACAGCAGAGGGAGTACTTCTGCGGTGGCGTCAAGACCAATACAGTTGGCAAGATTGTGGCGAACTACGTATTGTAGCAGATTGCCCACGCTGATAGCGAGTGTAATGTCAAAGGACGCTTGATCGACAATGGGCCCTTCCGAGAGGGTTGAAGATACGATGTATTGAGGAGTGAAGAAAGAGGGAAGAAGTCTTTCGCAGCGCCGCACGACGGACAGCTTTATACAGTACCCGTGGCAAAGGTCTCGTATCATACTCGACCCGGTACTTCCCGCGGTGCGTGAAGCCGGGCACTTCTTTGCAAGAAGTGCCGGACAGTCCAACGCAAAGGACAGTCCAACGCACTTTCTTTGGGAACTGCCAAAATGACACCCACCGCAAGGCTGGCGGCTTCGCCGCCTCCAGAACAGCCTCTACCCGCTGACCATTTACTTCTTTGCAACGCAATTGCGAGCAGCCCTGTACAGTACATTTTGCCGACCACCACCCGGTAACAACCACATTCGTTCACCCTTCTCAGCTTCATTACCACAGCACTGACACGAGTTTTTTGACACACAGCTATCACAGCAATCACTGCACTGCAACACCTGAAGAGCCTCGCAGTGCATCATGGCTTCATTCTGGCCCCCTGCCCACCTCCTGCCTCCTTCACCCACTAAGGAGCCATATGAGAGCGTTGAACGACGCCTTGTGGCTTGTCTGAACCATTATGCCAGCCTCGACGAGATAGACAGACCGACGCTGAAAGATGTTTCCCAAACCTGTGAGCTCCCTTATTACCGTTTGCGAGGCCGAAACCACGGACGCTGTAGTAGTGCGCTTCGAACTGCGCATGAAATCGATAATATTTCGACGCCGATTATACGCCTAGAATCTTCGACGAGCGAATGAAATCACCTTTATACGACAACATCAAAATACCGTCAAAACTTCCGACAACAAATCGACACACTCACGTTCCCAACACTCCGACAATTACCAAATACAACCACCTGTACCGAAACCTTGCTTCACAACGACGTTTTGTCCTCGGATTCGACTGACATGCGAAAAATGTAGGCGTAGGAGAGGATCTCACACATGAAAGCACCCCCGACCCGACCCTCAACCAACCAGAAGCTCCCACGACGCCCGAAACGCTACAGAAATCAACTGCGAAACAAGGAAACCAATTTCCGGTGGCCGTATACGCCGAACGTTGCAGAAAACCCCGAGAAAAGATTAGCGATAAGACTGTATCAGCGCCAAAAGTGCAAATGGAAAAAGGAAAAACTATGTAGACCGCCGCAGGAAAAGAGAAAAAGATCCCGACGTAGCTAAATCCTCTAGAGACGATTAGTAGAGAATTTGGACTTCGACAAAATCCCGTAGCCTAGAAAAATCCATATAAAAACCCGCCTGTTTTCCCCAGACCTTTGTACGATACGCAAAACCCTGACCAACAACAGAGCTTTCTACTTCTCTACTCCAGACGACTTCTTTCAGTTTCAGATAGACTTTCAAGGTGCGCTCACAGACCCGGAGAGCATAGACAAGACGACCCTGAGTGTCTGTTGGAGGTATCATCCCCCCGAGTCCCCGCTTAGGGTTCCCGTAGTTTACTTCCTCACGTGACTCCCCTCCCGCTTACGCCACGCTTCCGCGTACGGGACTTCACTCTTTTCTTCCCCTTCGAACCTCGCGTCCTCCTTACGCTTTAGACTTTTCTATACAAGACAATACATACTTCACGGTACAGCATTGCACACTACATAGAGTTCGCTCAGTCATCTGCTCACTCTGCCGACTACTGCTAAGGGGTTATGAGCCCTGGCTTCGCCCGCAACTAGCGGACGTTCCAGGATAAAGCACTCACGGTCTCCAGTCACCACTCTCTCAGAAAGCACCATGCCACCTAAGGATTCAACAACCCAACCTCAGAAGGGCTACGCAGCTGCAGTGACAGCCGGCAAGCCCTCCCCTCACCACACGCGGTCCCAAGGAGGAGCTCTCCTGGGCCCACTACCTGCGGCTACTAGAGGAGGAGGAAAGAAAGTTCAACAACCCCCTGTTAAGAGTTCTGAATCTATTAATCAGCGCTCTGGCATTGACTCACGTACTCCGCTTAATCAAGGCGTAGCCCGTCATGCCGACTTACGCAGTGAACCAACACCTACCCCGCCTTACAAAATGCCTGGTGAATTTGTGGATGAGAAGAAGAGGAAAGAGGAACTTTCTGCTACTATTGCAGAATGGAAAGACGCAACCACGCCATATGTGGATGCGCCTGAATCACTTGGACATACCGGAACCGAAAACAACCCCTTCCTGATGGACTCCATTCAGGAAGAATCTATGCCTGTCAAGCAGGAAGAGAAGATGCTCCAATTGGAGGATCAAATAGCCAATCTGACTGGATTTGTTACCTCGCTCTTGAATTCGGGCCGAGCGCCACAACAAGGCGGACCTACCGTCCCCTCCGTGAACCCGCTCGCTCAGTCGCCAGTGAACAGCACTCGTTCTCATTATTCGACTAGCCCTATCCGGGCAAATGTGCCATATATGACCTCTGCGTCGCCGGCACCCCATGCGCCTCCTCAGCGCGCTATGGCCTACTCCGTCCCATACGCTTATAAAGCCCCGGAACGGCATCCTTACTTTCAAACTCGTTCTCAAAGCCCTCCTTTCGCTGAAATTCCACACGAAAGTGCATCTGTGAGATCTGTTACTCCCATAACACCCCCTACGGCCGGCAAATCAGCTTCCAAAGTCTTCATCAACACCACCCTTAGTAAACTCGGCACCTACAACGGCGACCCCAATGTTACCAAGCTTCAAGGGTTCCTTGATCACATCTTGATCACACATGAAGTACAAGATGATTTCGCCTTCGAATGCGTAGACTTTGTCGTCAATGCGCTCACTGGACCAGCTCTCCAGTGGTGGAAAAGCCTTCCTGAAAACGAGCGCTTCTCCATAATTTCCTGGCACGATATTCAAGACGTCTATGGACTGCCCCCGCCACTCGGATTACGCTCCGCGATGTTGAGGCGCTTCATTCCCCGGACTCATCTGCCGCAAGTTCCTCACAGACTGCGCGCTCTGAAGCCCAAGTCAATTAACCATCAAGGTTTAACCGAATTCGTCGCCCAGTTCAACCGTTTGGCTGGACAACTCCCCGGGCTCCCGGAATACGTGCTCTGTGCTGACGTCCTTCAAGCCAGTCCCAAGAATCTTAGTACCCTGATCACTGCTCAGGCTCAGTACAACGATAGACTTAGTCCTTCCCAAGAAGCCGCGATTCGCATAGCCGCGCAGCTCAACGAGAAGACCCCGAGTACGCCTCAGTCGGGCGCATCCGCTGCCCACGTTACTTCCACTCTACCTCAGAAGAAGAAGAACAAATCCAAGACTGGCGGCTCCAGAGGCTCCTCCTCTACCCAATCCTCGTCTTCTGACGCAACCAAGAAGCCTCCCCAGTGCAAATGCTGCCAGAGGGATGGCCATAAGTCGGAAAACTGCTTCACTTACAAAGCTGTCAAGGATATCATGGACAAGAACATGAAAACCAAGCAGGACGCACACGCTGCGGCCTCCATGGCTTATGCTATGCATGTTCAAGTCCAACCAGCCAACCACGACGTCCGCCTCTTCAAGGCGAACGTGGATTCCGGTTGTACGGATCATATGACCCCCTATATTGAGGATCTAGATCCATCTTCTCTCCAAGACCATCAACGCCTTACTGGACTCGCGGATCGACTACCATTACCTCTCAAAAGAAGGGTACCGTACTTACCCAACCTACGTCCGGCAGCGAAGTCCTCGCTCTTTGCATCGTTCTATTGGTTCCCAGTCTTGCCCAGCCGCTTATATCTGTTGCTAAATGCACTGATAACGGCGTTACCGTCTCCTTTCACCCCACCGACGTCGTCACGTTCAACACCGACCGACACTTACTCGCGCTGGGAATGCGCAAAGGTGACGCGTACTATTTAGAAGGAGGGGTTACTACCCACAAGCCCAACGCCCAGGCACTGGTCGCTTCCATAACCCCCCAACTTCTGCATCAACGTCTTGAACACCCTGGAAACCATATTCTCCCGGTTATGCCTAAGATAGTAGAGGATTGGCCTTCAGTGGGGGCTACGCCGGAATTCGGCGCACGCTGCGATCCATGCGCTCCCGGCAAAGCTACCCGCCTTACCTTCCCTGAATCGACATCCCCACCACACAAACCCGGCGAGCTGATTCACAGCGATTTACAAGGTCCATTTCGGATCCAAGGCATCAACGGAGAGCGCTACAGTCTCGCGTTCCTAGACGACGGCTCCGACTTCGCCCGTACCTACTCCATCAAGGACAAGGAGGCATCCACTATTACCGCAAGATTTATGATCTTTCATAAGTGGCTCAAGAATCAAACTGGCGCGTCCCTCAAGATCCTACGTACGGATAGGGGAGGAGAATACACTGGCACG